GTCTGAGCATCCAGTGACGATGCCAGAAGTACGGTTTCAAGTTGATGGCTGATGGGGGTGATGCTTTGTAACTTAGCACGCCAAGCCCACCGATGGCAGCGTAGATGTTTTGTCGTTGGCGCAGCGACAGCTGCAGATTCTGATGGAGTTTCATTCGCTGGCTGACGCGACTGTGCCGCGTCTGCCTGATGAAATGTCGACTCGGTTTGCCGCTCTGCTTTTATGTTCCCTTGGTTGGTTTTGAAGTTGCATGTCGCCAAGCTGGGCAGGCGGCAGCTATGAGAATTTCGGGTTCGGATGTCTGAAGCTCAATGGATTTAGGCTCCAGGGAGTCCTGAGCCCGAAGGCCGAAAAAAGCCGAAAAAGCCGAGAATTCCTTGCTCCCAGGATGCAGGAGTTTGCCGACGAAGTGGGCGAAGTCCTGCAGGCAATCGGATGTGTCAACGCATTGCAGGCTGTTTGGATCTGGATCTCGAGGAGTACTGAGTAAATGACATGCGCTAGACCTTTCGGTTCCTGGTACCCTCCGAAAGGCAGGCATGGAGACGACGGTGGTTCACCAAAGCACGTAATTAGGTGCAAAGAAGTCTCGTGGATGCAGTCGACCTAGAAGCAGCAGTAGTGGCACCCTGGAGTACTGGCAGAGAAGCAGCAGCGAGTGAAGGAGTGGCACTATATTGTCAGGCAAGTTCAACACATGCCAAGTGGGAGCAGTTGATCCTTCAAGATACTCCTGCCTCGAGCCCTCAAGTTGAAAAGTCTGCGGCGAAGGAGTTTGAGAAGAGCATCATGATGCTCTTTTGGCAAGTGAACTTTCTAGAGCCGATGCTGCAGGAGCAGCATGCTTCGGGGACTTTTTTGGGGGCTACAGATCCTCGGGGACGTCGTCCTTTTTGTCGTGCACTCTACTTTGCCGTCGGGCCCCCACGGACCAGAGGCATGCCGTTTGCGAAGTGCTCACTGCTCTTCTACACTGGAAGGGGGATTTTTAGGGACGAAACCCTGAGCAAACAGTTCCCCACTCATTCCCAAAACCGGTTCAAAGCTCAGCTCTGTTTTGGCCTAATGCCAAAGACAGACGCTCCCGCTATCACGTTGATGCACCTTGGGCTTGTAGAGGCACCCTCGCAGCATGTCTGCATGTCCAGTCTTGCCCACCTGGGGCATTGTGATGTTGGGTGAGCGGTGAGCGATTTAGGGGTAGAAATTCGAAGGGGTCAGGGCGTATCCCAATCATGTGGAAAACCCAACGCCTGCCCCATTTGTCAGGCACCTCGACACCCCCAGTCCTTGAAAACTCAACCGTCAACCTGACCTCAGCTGGTTCTGTATCGCAGGAGAACTCTCTTGTCTGGCCCCAGAAGGCACGCCATCGGCATCGGAGTCTTGAAGCTCTCAGTCAAGCCAGCCTCTGCCGACAACAAGAACTGCAGTCAAGAAAATCCGGGTGTTAAGCTCAGTAGGAAAAGTCGCTCGGCTTGAGGAGACCGCTACCCAGAGTCAATGTTGGGGACAGCCTTGCGAGAACCATGGGGCATGACCACCATCCCTATCCCGATCATCGTCGTGGACCTCCTCATCATCATTAGCCTCACCCTTGTCGCAAGTGAACAAGAGCAGTATCAGTAGCAGCATCGAGACTAGCTGTAGAAGGCTATCATGATAGTAGCGACGATAATGCTTCTGATGGTGACAACGATGGCTCAGCTGATGGAAGTTCATGCAGATATGTGAGGCTTTTGATGGTGGCGCTGAAGATAGCGGTTGATGACGACGCTGGAGGATGCAGGTGAGTATCACTTGTTCTGGTAGTAGTAGTTGTCGTCGTCGCAGCCGAAGAGGAAGTAGCAGTAGAGGAAGTAGAAGGATAGGTAGTACTAGCAAAGCAGAAACAGTAGCAGTAGAAGTCGTCGTGGTGGTGGTGGTGGTGGTGGCGGCATCGCTGTAAGGCATGAGTCATGGCATAAATCCCATACCCTGGATTTTGAACCCCAAGCTGCTGCCAGGTCAACGAATGCGTTCAGCTGTTCCAGAGCCTCGATCTCACCGAGCGCAAGAAGATCGCGGGCCAGGCCGGCCCGACACACATCACGACTGCAAGTCCTAGTCGTCCTCCCGTGGTCGTACTGTTAGCTTCCCGTCTGAAAGTGCGCCGACACCCCGAAAGCCACAAGACTCAGATCGCCACAGCCCGAAGCTCCCAAGAAACTGGAAACTCCAAACCCTAAATCGCAACAGCACTCCTTACAGCCTCGACCCCAAAGCCGAAAGCCTCAGATCAGACCTCTGGTGGCAATTTTCAGGTGCTCGAAAAGTGGACAGAAGTGCAAGATATCTTCCGGCTGACAAAGGCCGACCAACCTCGCATAAGATAGGGCAATACGGGACAGCATCATGATCATGGTATGGTATAGGATGAGAGGGCTTCGGGCTGAGAGCTTGAGGTATGAAGTACGAGGGTTTCAGGAGTGTTACGGCTCTAGAGGAAGCCTTCAGGGTCTTGGGCTTTTATGTCGTAGGGGCATGGAGTTATGCACAGGGGGTGCATGTTATTCGGCGGTCAGGGTTTCGGGCTTGCGGCTGGAGTGGGGCCAGTGGTTCAGGGCTTGCGGGGTGTTGCGCTCGCTTCGTGCGATTGAGGTTTATGTATATGTGCATGGTTAGTGCGCAGCATGTGCGCTGGGTTGGGCTTTGGGAAGGGGTTGAAGATGGTTTAGGGCTGGTTCAGGGGGGCTAGCAGGCGTTTTTGTGCGTTGCCTCGTCAGCGCAATGAGCCGACATACGGAAAGTGTCTCGACGGTAAGATGGCATACTCAAGCGTACTCGACCGAACAAAGTGATTGACATGCTCTCTGGAAAGCGTCTGATCGGCTGATCGGCGTGGGTTGATCCGCGGCATCTGGTGTGTGCGCGATCTGCTGCTGCGTGCAATGGTGTCTGTCTGAACGGTGTACATCGGCTTATCGCCACAGATTCCGAATGCGGTCGGCAACCTGTAAACATATGGAAGTACACAAATGGACAAGCGCACGCAAGCATGTCGACACAGTACGAGTGACAGTGTATGCACGAAGGCATCTACATAATTACCTACTAGCACACGCACACAGGCGCACACACACACACACACACAACCATACATACCGACGTTCACGCATGCAAATGTCCAGTTATAGCATACATCCACACGGCTGGCGTGCATACATGCATAATTCCCCCCCATACATGCATGTGCCCCTCAACGCACACACATTGACACAGTCAAATGCCCATGTGTGCAAGCATGTTTGCATGCATAAAACCGTTGAATGTTGAATGCGCGCTGCACGGAATAAGAAGCCATCAGGTGGGTAGTCTACACGTGTGTATACACGCTTCATGCATGCATGCATTCATCCATCCATGTATGCAAACAAGACTGCAGACACACATACATACATGCATGCATGGATGCCTGCCTGCTTACATTACAGTACAGTACATCACATTACAGTACACTACATACATACATGCGTGCAGACATGCATACATGCATGCACACGCAGATACACACACACACACGTACGTACATGCATGCATCCATCCATCCATCCATCCGTCCATCCGTCCATCCGTCCATCCGTCCATCCGTCCATCCGTGCATCCGTCCATCCGTCCATCCGTCCATCCGTCCATCCGTCCATCCATCCATCCGTTCATCCATCCATCCATGCATGCAGGCATGCAAGTCTACACATGTACGATGTGCATATGTACATGTATACACTCAGTTTTGCATGCATATTTATGAAAGATAGATGGCTAGGTCCAGGAAGGTAGGTAGGTAGGTAGGTAGGTGGGTAGGTAGGTAGGTAGGTAGGTAGGTAGGAAGGAAGTAGGTAGGCAGGCAGGTAGGTAGGTCGGTGGGTGGGTAGGTAGCTTGGAAGATAGGTTGATAGGTATAGGGTAGAAATAGCGACAGATAGACGGATACGTTACTTGCACACCGTTATGCTGTCCCATAAATGTGTTCATAAATAATCATACTCACAATTTTACTAGTAACAATAATTCTCTTGGTTATAGTAATGATAATATGAATAGTAGTGATAGTAATCTTCATAATTACAATAGCAATAGCAACAATATTAAGAATAACAACAATAAGTTCTTCAGAAGCGTGTACCAGTCCCAGGAAGCTCTTTCAGCACCAGAAGATGCAGAGCCGCTGGAGGATGTCCTTACACCTCGAAACCCTGAAGCCCCTAAGCCGTAAAGATCCGTAAATCTCCTGAACCCTGAACCATAAAGCCTTACACCCCAACACCTTGAATTACCAAACCCCGAGACCCTAAGCTTGGAGGCTAATTCCCTAGAAATCCGAACCCCCAGCGCCCCTGAAGACTGCCAGCCCTAAGCCCTCCCCTCGCCTTCGCCCCTCGCAGTTCCGGGGTGTTAAGATGGGAGGGTAGGGTTTAGGACAGCAGGGTTGAAGGTTGTAGGAGTTTAGTGCTCTGGGGTCTTGGGCTCGCAGGGGGTTTGGGGCGGGGGAGGGTTT